ACAGCAAATTATGAACGTGAGTTCAGGGACCTTAAAAAATCATTTTTAAGTGAAATCAAGGACTTAAGAAAAGAGGTAAGCAAACTGTCAGAACAAAACGTCTCGCTATCAAATCAATGTTCTGCTCTGGATGACAGACTTACATCAGTTGAAGACAAGCTAAACGTAGATATGAGTCTGCCTACCAGCCAACCAACATGATTGCCCTAAATATTCCTGAGTCTGATAAAGCTGCTGGAAAGGACCGTTTAGAGGATGACAGAACAAAGTTAGTTACAGCTTTGCCTCCCAGTCTCAAGGCCACTGAACTCAAGTTACGTAGACTGGGTCGTCCTACACCTGGACGTACACGTCCTCTTCGCATTGCCACCCGCTCAGCAGCCGATGCACTTGCCATTATCAAATACAGACCAACAGACGAAAACTCAGGTTTTTAATTTGCGTCAAGAGCTTGATTCAATCGTGAAGAGTGGTGATGACAGTAACACAATTAAATATATCCATGGTGTCCCTAGAATCGTTAAAAGAAATTTTCGTCCGCTCAATGAGCAAGAAGAAAGTATCTTTCGTCCACCTGTGCTACCAGAACGTCAGAGGTCTGCGTACAAAACTCTCAACATTTCAAACAGCATTGGCGGCTAACCAGTACGACGTTGTATGTATTTAGGAATCCTGGCTTCACTCATCTATATGTGATGGTGAAGTCATTGATTCAACATATAGTATTTACCGTAAAGACCGTGTTTCTCTCATCAACGAGCAGGTACGTGGTGGTGGTGTCTTCATCGCCTGTAAACGTAGTCTCCATACAGAACAAATTGCAATAACAAACAATGATTTAGAGCAAATACTCATCCGTGTCAAGGGAGCTTCTCGCGATATGATCATCGGCTGCATCTACATACCTCCTCAATCAACTCTTGAGATCTTCGAGTGCCACATAGCTACCGTTTCATTTATAATGGACAAATACCAAAACTCCAACGTCATGATTGTCGGCGACTTCAATATTCCTAGCAGCTTGCCTCGTGTCGAATGTGAAAAGCAACTTTATGATGGCTTTGCCTCATTAAACTGCACTCAACAAAATTACATTCAAAATGCCTGGAACTCAACACTTGACCTTTGTTTCAGTGATATTGTTTCTTCTCCGGAACACGCAGTTGCCCTTGTCCTGGAAGATAAGTACCATCCTGCTATCGACATCTTGCTAAATTTTCGGCCGGGGTTGACGCCAGATAATTCCTCATCATACGTATTTAAAAAGGCTAACTACGTAGCCCTTAATACCTCTCTCTTAAGAACGAACTGGATTGACCTCCTCTACAAACTCGAGACTATTGACAGTAAGTTGGACTTTCTCTATGATAAAATCTTTGAAGGTGTAAACCAGTTTGTTCCAGTACACGTACACAAGCCAAGTAACTATCCATCTTGGTTCTCACATGATCTCATTCACAAAGTCAAACAGAAGAAATCTGCACACCTGATATATAAAATTCGGGAAACCTGCAAATTATTTACGATTCAGCAGGTTAAGATTGGAATGCAAAAAGTTAAGTATCGATTGCTACAAAAGTTATGTCGACAAGGTAGAGGACAAACTGCAATCGTAGATCAAAGCATTCTGGAATTTTATCAAGGACAAAAACCGTTGCACCGGTGACATACCATCTTCCGTAGCCTAGAATGACCGCTCAGCAGATACGGGGCCAGGTATCAGTAACCTCTTTGCGTCCTTCTTCCACAGCATCGACGTGCCATCGAATAGCAACGACCCAGGTATTGCAACCTTCAATCCTGGTACACAGCGCACACACTTGGATGCCCTGACAGTGACCTACGACGCAGTACTCAAAGAACTCCTTGCTCTCGACCCCAGCAAAGGTCCAGGCCCCGACGGTTTACCTAACATATTCATCAAAAACTGTGCGGTAGGCCTATGTGAGCCTTTGACACATATATTTGGCGAATCTCTTCACCATGGTACCTTCCCGACCTACTGGAAACTGTCATACATCTCACCGATTCATAAAGAGGGGCCCAAGACCTTGGTTACCAACTACCGTCCTATCTGCATACAGTCTGCACTTGCAAAACTATTTGAGAGGTTAGTGCTTCCAGATACGTCAGGCATTTGAAAACATCATACCAATTTGTTCATATACGTCGACAAACTGCTGAACTCCATGGATTCCGGCAACTGCACACACAGCATTTACACAGACTTCAGCAAGGCTTTCGACCGTGTTGACTACGAAATACTTTTAGATAAGCTAAGTAAATATGGTGTGGCTGGACGTGCATTAGCTTGGATACGTACATACCTCACAGGCAGACGCTTGCAAGTCAGAGTAGATGGCCACTTATCCAGTGAATATGAAGTAATCTCTGATGTGCCACAAGGATCTCACCTTGGTCCTGTACTATTTAACATCTTCGTCAACGACATTGGTAATAATTTTGCTTCTGATTTCCTTCTGTATGCTGATGACCTCAAAATATTTAGACCGATTACTTGTGAGACAGACATCATAATTTTGCAACAAGACATAAATATCCTCAGTGACTGGTGTCGAGTGAACAAGCTGGATCTCAACGTAAACAAATGTGCGGCCGTATCTTTCGCTCGCTCACACTCACCGATCCGCACGAGCTACAAACTTGATGGGCTTGAGATAGCGGAGGTCGAGAACATAAAAGACTTAGTTATCATTGTTGATAATAAGCTCACCTTCTCAGACCACACAGACAAAATTACATCAAAGGCGTTCAAAGACCTTGGATTTATACTCAGGAGTGGTAAAGATTTCAAAAACCCTTGGACACTCATTAGACTATTCAAGTCACTTGTACTACCAATTTTGGAATATGGTTCGGTAATCTGGTCTCCCTACACTAACACGACAATCGATAAAGTTGAAAAGGTGGAGCGTAAATTCTGTAAGTCACTGACCTATAAACTATCGTCACCAAGTCACATCTGCACTACTGATGAGGTCTACCAGTGCTACTGTATAAACAAACTGTCTTCTCGTCGACAGGTCGCTGACCTCTGCTTTTTCTACAAAGTAGTCAATAACATCACTGATGCTCCTGAGATCCTAAACAGTTTTGAACTCGCCCCTGCTGGTCTTACCCTGAGGCGAAATAGATTACTAAAAACATCGAAATCCAAGAAAAATTATGTTATCCATGGTCCTCAGAATAGACTGGCTAATTAAGTAAATTCACTTCAAGGTGAAATTGATTTCTATGGAGGAACATACGCTGCTTTTACCGAAAACACCAAGAGACACCTGCTCGTCTGAATTACATCTAAATCAAGTCTGAATTACATATTAACTTACAATTATTTAAATATTTTCCAGATATTACACTAATATACCCTAGCCACTTTTGTATAATACTTTAATTCTTTATTATATCTATGTATATTGCCGATTGGCGTTTAAATAAATAAATAAATAAAACAATTTTAAACTTTTGATTATGCCACTTCCCAGAATAGAAATTGAGAGCTACTAAAGGCATCGGGTTAAAGCTCTACAATACCGATTAGATGTGCCATCCACCGTGTTCAAAAACTACTTGCAGTAGCTATGTGTTATTATTATATTCTTTTGAAGTAATAAAATATTCAAGTAATTCTTATATGAATTTTGAACACATACTTATGTATTATTTGAAATATAATTTTTTTTATTTTGATATAAGAAGTATAATATGTCCGTCCCTTGAATTGCATTGACTTTTATCATAAAATATAAAAAGTATAATAGATTGTAAAATCGTGGGCAAAGAAAAAAGCCTTCGTTTGGGTCTTCTTCAGGAATAAAAGAATAACTGTGCAAATTTGGCTGTGGCTCGGATGTTGTGTGGGTACATAACGAAATAGCGTTTCATTTTTATATACATACAAATGTACATAAAAGGTTAGAAAACTCCATTACATTCCATTTTAATGACTTTTGTAAACAAAATTGCTTTCACCACTTGGAAAAAACAAACTTAAGACTACCAAAGAATGTAATATAATGCCAATTGCTTGATAAGCATTTTTAGTTTTTCTCACATTAGCTACACTTAATTAATGAAAACATTAATCGCTAAGGTGGTATTGTAAACATTAAATTTGAGTTACTTCAAAAATAAGGAATCAATTTGAAATCTAAACTTAAAACGAATGGTTTCTTTAATCGGTATGTTGGCCAAAACTATTTATTTTTATACCCTGAACAGGGTATATTAAGTTTGCGACGATGTTTGTAACACCCAGAAGGAAACGTCGGTGACTCTATAAAATAAGTATATAAATGATCAAGATGACAAGCTGAGTCGCTTTCGCCATGCCCATCTAGTCCCTCAGTTTTTGAGACATCGATCAGAAATTTTTCACACGTCCTTTTCTCCTCAAGAAGCCGCTCATTTATCGAAACGATATCGGACTACTATAGCGTATAGCTGTCATACCAGCTGAACTATCAAATTCAAGTACCCGTATGGAAAACATTTTTATTTGACAAGGTATTTTCACGAAATGTGGCAAAGATTTTTGTTCAAATTGTCGGATCACTACAGCATATAGCCATACAAACTGATCGATTCAAATCAAGATCTTGTAAAGAAAACTCGAACATGTAAAGGGAATTATAGCTTCGGCGCAACCGAAGTTAACGTGTTTTCTTTTCCTAAAGATTTTTATCATTTTTATACTATTGAACATGAGAATTAATATTACACAAATGCAACTCTAAAGCTGGTCTATAGTTAAAATAAAACAATGGCAGTTTGGTAAAGATTTAAACATAATTAATGCTTCTTCTTTGCTACATAGAAAAAAGTTAACAAGACATTCATAATCTCTTACGTTGAATAATTAAATAAAAAAATATTTCATTCATTGTATATATAGAGGCAAATATAAAAATATTTTTATAAAAAAAATCCGACGAAATCACTGTGATGAGCATTTCAAAAAGCTAAAAATTTGTATTTACCTTTAAGCCATCGCTTTCGTTTGGCAGCTCTAAAAACTTTTGCCTCAAAATCATATTTTTCTTGCATCAAAATTTCATGAAGTGTTGGCTTGTCTGATAACACAAAAGTAGTAGAGTTTGGATCTCTTTCCTGTAAATAATAAACAGTCACAGATAATTTGGGTTATTATGAAATTATAACAGGATTTATATTAATATTATTCCCAAAGTGGATAAGAAAATTTTGAAAAATTTTTATAACGGCGGCCGCTACGCATTGTTGCATATGAATGTTGCGTTTTTTTTTTCAAACATTAATATCTGATAATCGACGTGCACAAACCTGCAAAGCAAAGGCCAAATTACACTGTGAGTGTATTGAGTAAAGAAGCTTTGTTTGTGTATCCTATTCCTTAATTATCTATCTATTCCTTAATTATGCCAGAAAATAATTAATATTGAAAACCTTATAACACATTCAATATATAGTATGAAGTAATAGCAATATTAACAGATAAACATACTTACATTCAATATTACATCGGAAATTTGCTTAGTAGACTCCAAGTCTAGAGGATCATAATTACAGTAATTGCAAAGTTGTTTTAATGCCTCAACTTCTTTCTCCAACCAGATGTAAAGCTGATAGCGCAATTGACCACCATCAACTTCAAATCCAGTTGCTAATGTCGAAAGTTCTTCCATTAATATTTTTAAGCATGCTACAAATTTAAGTTGCTGTGCCATAATATCTATTTTCACATCCTTTGATGTCTCTAACTGGGTTTTTTGTGGAGCTTTTGTTATTGTAGGGGTTTTATTTTCAAAAGGCTCATCAACTTCCGTATCTTCGGGGGCGTCGGCATCATCATCGTCCCACTTTATCTCAAATGCGTCTTCTTTTTGTAAAACCGAAACTGGAGTGCTCCAATCCATATCACATTTTATGCCAGAATCAACCACTGGTTCACTCCAATCAATTATACCAGAAGTTATTTGGTCTTCCTTGTAAATTTTAGTATTAGTCTCTTCGATAATATTATTTGAATCCATAATTTTCATTGGCAATTTATTTAGCACTTCTAAAGCTAATGCCGGGCAACCAGCCTTAAAGTGTGCATGGGCTGTTGTAAAATAAAGTTGTCTCTCAATAGGTGTTATTGAATCTTCTAGTTGAAGTTGTTTATCATTTGATTTTGATTTTTGATTATCTCCAGAATAACTAAATCCTGATAATACTACATTTGCACATTTCTTCTCTTGTGCAGACAGTGCTAAGCTTTGCCGAACTAACAATGGATGTGTACGTAAAAATATGTAGAAGTTAAAAACATTAGGATTTGTTGCAGAATTTTCAGCTTTCAACATGTCTTCGTCTTTAAATGCGACATGATTCATACCAACTCCGTTTAACAAAAGTGTATGCAAACTATCTTGATATCTCTTTAAAATCCAATAAGTAATGGATCGAAGAAAAGGATCTGGGTGAGCTCTATTTATATCAAATACACTGTTATCATCGGAAATTCCAAGAACATGTTCTGAGAGTAAACTTCGATAAGTTGAGTTGCATGATATTTCAATGTCATCTTCGAATAACCTCGCTATTACTAAAGCCAGCTGGAAGTCTTCCAATTTATTTATGCAAACTTCTATGGCATCATTTAAAGAATTCGCAAGTAGGAAAAATGCAACTGCGTGCTCAAAACGTTGTTTTCCTAGAAGAACAAAAGCGTTCTTCAGGGCTGCTTTCCTCCACCGGTCTTCAGAAAAATTATTTGAAAAGAAAGCGGTCATTTTTTCGTCTCGCTTTGATCTAAAAAGACCCCAAACAATCGATTTCTTCTTCATAGCTAAATAAAATATAGCTGCATCTAATGGATCTTGTTTCATTTGATAAGCACTCTTTGCTAGTTTCTCAACGCAACAACGTAAAGTATTAACATTTTTCAACCAATATCCAACGCCGAGATCTTTCAGTGTAGACCACCTTAAATCTCCTTTTGAATAAGAAGGAATGAGATTTAGGAGCTCCTCTTCACTTTCAGAATGAAAAGCCCACACTATGTTTGAAGTTCCAATTCCTTGTTTTTGAAATAGTGCTCTTTGGTTTAGTGGTAAACAGCGTAGAAGATACGTAAAATGTTTCATAGCGAGTAGAAACCGAAGGCCACAATCATCTAAAGATTCTGATATTTTACACACATTTTTACCATGATCGGAAGAAAATGTTTCGCTGAAGTCGCTGTTGAAATTTGCAACGGTATCAGCTAGAGCTAATAAATGCATCTGGTCAAGAGAAGATAGTCCTGGTAAATGCGTATGAGTAAGCAGGCGCGATAACAACTGTCCTTGACGCGAACCGAAATGTGATATACTTAATTTTTCGGGCATAGATAACTTTCTTTCGAATTTACAATGTTCCCCTTCATTATCAAGAAGATCATCTAAATTGTCCTCCGAGTTGTTCATTTCAAAAAGTTCATTATAGTCTTTACCATTTTCCAAAGCGTTCATTCCCTGACCTGGAAATTCGTTATCCGCGTTTAGTAGGACCCAAAGCGGTAATGGAGGTATTGATGTGATTTCAGTATAGTCGAGCATCAATTCTTCTGGAACCTACAAAAATATTTTATCGTTAAAAAAATTATATAGAATATCGTTGCCAAATTTACTTAATAATAAAGCTCAATAGATTGGTAATGGGTAATGGTAACCTTTTATTTATATCTATTACAACCAAGTACCACGATATGCTTTATTCACGATATCCTGTTACTGATGGCTACGGCTGCATTATATATTATATTAAACCAAGGAACAGGTTGGCAAAATCGTCCGCTGAACCCAAAAGCAAAGGCAAACACCAAAGGTACAGAAGCCAAGACTGGCGCCAGGAAAGCAGCAGCACTGGTGGCAGCCCATACCAACCCCTGTAGCCAAGGCTTGGAGGCTAAGCAGGGGAAGGAGGGAGATGCCAAAAGTGATGCTGCCAGTAGTGGGTCAGCCAGAGAATTGCCTACCTTTAAGATTGACGACCCAGCGAAGACAAGGTATGCAGAGAAGCGACGCGCTGCATACCTGCTGAAGAAGCATACCTACTGCAACCGCCAACCAATGAGGAGCTCACAAAATAGCTCCAGGAATCCATTGATTGCGCGAGAGCTGTCTTACCTAACTTCAAGCTAGAAGCGCCGGTAGTGGCAGCTAAGAGACAAAGGTCAGCTGAAAAGGCTAAGCCGTCAGCTAAGAGACCGAAGACTAAGGGCGTGACAACCGCAAAATCTTTTGCTGATGTGGCCCGAACCGTATTGTCATTGGGGTGCTGGATGAGAATGACCCCGAAGGAAAAATCCCCAGAGACCAATGGAAGAGGGTGCAAGCCGCACTGACGAATGTGGCGTTGGAAGTGCTACTAAGCAATCCAGGTCCACCCCCGTCATGTACGGATGCCGGATGTTATCAGGGTCAGATAAAGGTGATTGCGTGTGACGACGAGGATCGGTCCAGCTATATAAGGCCGCAATAGCTAAGGTGGGGGAGGTCTACCCCGGAGCCAGGCTAGTAGCGGTAGACAAAAAAGATATCCCATCCCGACCGAGGGCAAGGGTATGGATCCCGGCTACACCATCGCAGCCAGACCAGATAATGCAGCTCATAAGAGCCTGTAACCCAAATTTGCCATCTGGGAGATGGAGATTCGTCAGGGCCTTCGATGACCCCGCAGCGAAATCTGGTGTGGAGACGAAACGAGCCACAATGCAAAGGAATCCGTAGAACCGCTAACGAAAAGTGTCGGAGAGATCAACTACGGATTCACAAAAGTGAAGGTTATGACCTACAAGTCAGACGCCAATGCAGGAGAAAACTTGGCGTCGGAATCGGAATGCGAAGTGGAGTCCTCGAGTGATGTAGAGAACACTGACCAAGGTGAGTGTACTTCGGGGTCTAAGCTTGCAGACAGACTCTCTAAACATTACACTGAGAGTGACCTTTTAAGCGACTCTCAAGAAGACGCAGAGAAGACACTAATTAATGCGTATTCTCCAAATTAATTTACACCATAGCAAACTAGCGTCTCTAGCCCTATTTAACCGCATGGCAGAAGAACGGCCTGACTTCGGCCTCATTCAGGAGCCAAGGGTTAATGGAACGCGTATTTGCGGTCTGAGGACACCGGGATATAATTTATACGCGAATGGTTGTGTAGGTAAGCCTAGGACATGTATATTGGCTAGCAAAAAGCTTAATGTCTTTTTATTACACAGTAGTAACGACACTACAGTAGTAAGCTGGGAGACGGCTGGCATCATGCTACAGCTGTTCAAAGAGCTGGTACGTGACACCGAAGCACCCAAGTGTTCGATTACACTTGGGTGCGGCTCCAATGCGCACCACACACTATGGGGAAGCCGGATATTAATGAAAGGGGTGATATGCTCTTTAATTATTTAATAGGAAGTAAGCTTTTGCTATGTAACAAAGGTAGTACGCCAACATTTATAACCAGAAACCGACAGGAAGTATTAGATATAACACTGGTATCGGAAGAACTGGTGGATAAAAAAACACATTGGAGGAACATTCCTTCTCAGATCACCGCTACATTGAGTGTATAATTGAAGAAAATGTAGTTAGGGAAGAGAAATTTAGGAAT